TCTATCAAAATATAAAAATTTATTTTTTAGTTTTTTTTTTTTTTTTTTTGAACACAACCGATCACACACATTACTTTTGAGATCGGAGGCGTTTACATTAGTCACAGATAAAGAAGAAATTTTGCTCACATGAATTCTATCATTGTGAACAAAGTGCAGGTACGATGCAAGTGAGATATTAGTTTTGCAGTGTGGACAGCTTCAGTTATTATAATGGGAGATTTAACGTGCAGAACTCACACTGAAAGTCATTGACCACTTCAGTGATGGGGAACATTCTTTGCTTGCTTTCTGTATGAAACTTATTTGCAATTTGAATAACAGTTTTGCTTTTCACACTGCTAAGATAATTAATCAAAAGTCTTGATTTGTAATGCATAAAAAGCAATAAACTAATCTATAAACGGTTATCAACTTTTTGTCTATGTAGCCCATAGGAATATTATGTGCTGTTTCCCAGGATACAAACACACTCACACAAAAAATAAATAAATAAATAAATAATAATAATACATTATTAATGATCATTACAGTATTGAGGGCAATAACTGACAATAAAGATAGAAACAGTTATCAGGTTTAGGCATGTGGTTTCTGCCAAAAAGCAAGAAAAGTGAAAATTGCAATTGAGACTTTTACACAATAATTAAATTTTTTTTGGTTCTTGAAGTGTTGAGAAGTTCACTTAAAACAAAACATTGTTTGCTGTTACTAGATAAAAAAAAACATGTACTGAAAAATTTGTGAGTGATGTATGTTTGTCAGAATTAAAATTGTCTCAACCATTGCAAAAATAATTTAACCAAAATTACCTCAGATCATCTTCAGAGCAGTCTGTTATCAATAGGTTTTGATATACCAAACCGTTTTTATAAAGCACATGAACAAATTTAAAACGTCTGAGCAAAAATGGACATGAGGCTATAGCTCAAGCTATGTTTTATGTGTTATAAAAAGAATAACCTGAGGGCACATGATGAGTTTAGTCACAACGCCACCTACTGGTCAAAATTCGAATTTTTTTTGCTTATAACTTCTGACCAGTTTGGCCAAAAATCATAATATTGATGTCATTAGATTTGGAATGCATACCGAATTGAAAGATACCTAATTTTCCTATGTCTGCCTTTTTGGGCATCAGCCATTTTGAATTTTATAATAAATGCTGTATCAACAAATGTCTTAAACTGGGGTCTCCACCCCTGCTCCTGGAGAGCTACCATACTGCAGAGTTCAGCTTCAACCCTAATCAAGCACACCTGAACCAGCTAATCAAGGTGTCCTAGGCTCCTTAATTACTGACAGGTGTGTTGAAGCAGGGCTGGAACTTTTGCTGCCTTCACATGCTATTACAAATTTCCTATTCCCCACATATGAAGTCATATAGCCTATAAATACACTACTTTAGCAACAAGACAAAGTGATGTAGTTGTTGTGGCAAAAAATAATAAAGAATAGCATTGACATCAGCAATCGTTGTTGTTGTCCCCTCAAGTTTAAAGTTTATGGCCTGCTCAGCTCGAAAACTCTGGTATCAAATTATCTATAAGTTTCCCAGTAGTAAATATGATTTGAGAGCCCGTTCACTTCCAATTTCCTATTAGGAAACTCGTATTCACGAAAATGCCGATAGCATGTGAAGGCAACATTAAGTCTGCAGGAGGGTAGCTCTCCAGGAGCAGTGTTGGAGAACCTTAGTCTTTACTGAGTAATTAAAGCTCCTTAGCTGTTTATTTTACCTCTGTTGTGCTTGGCCCCTTAATTGCAGCTATAATTATTATTTTAATTATCCTAGGCTTTCACTGAGGGCATCACTAACCAATTAATGGGCTGCTATGTTGGCTCTCTGATGCAAGACCCTATTTTACTGGTGAGGGTTTATGGACAGATGACTGAGCTTTTTATGGACCGAGATAAGGAGATGGAGATGTTCCGGGTGCTTCACAAACATGGCTGTGGCCCGGAACTGTACTGCAGTTTTACCAATGGTATCTGCTATGAGTTTGTCAAAGGAGTTGTGCTGGACGACACACTGCTTAGACAGCCATCTGTTTACAGGTCTGAGCCTTTACCGCACACACGCAAACACACAAATACACATGAAAGGCACATGCACTCACAGTGCTTCTTGTGGAGTATTATTAACCCATTGACACTTTGGATCACTAGGAGTATATTTCTTAATCGAATTCTCATATTTATGATTGTGTGCTAATAAATGCTCTCATGCCGCAACATGGCTGAGTGAAGGCAGATTTGGCTACCTAAAATACTTTAGCTAAATGAAAGCTAATGTTTTTTTATTATTATTATTATTATTAATAGTATTAGTATTTCAGTTTTTCAATATGCTTAATTGAAATTGCCTTTTCATTGACTGCAGATTGATTGCAACAGAAATGGGGAAAATCCATTCCATAAAGTCTGGAGAAACTGGAAACAGTTCACCCGTTTTGTGGTCTAGATTGTCCCAGTTCCTTAATCTGGTCCAGACTTCTGATGCTGCTGAACAGCAAAAGTAAGTGAACATCAGAGTTATGAAACACTATTATCAGAAACTCTGCAATGTCTAACTCTATGCTAGACTAAATGAAAATAACTGAATGGTGTATTCACATTTGAAAGAACATAATTTCAAATACTCTATATAGGATAAGTGGTTTGGAAAATGAATGGATGAGTGCATGGTTAATCTCAATTTTGATGTTAAAAAGTAAATTCAGCAGGATTGCAAAATTGTTATTGTTTCATAATATTACCTTTTTAAAATTAGGAGCCAAATAACAGATAATTCTTATCTTATTTATATTATGTCAACATCTTCATGAAATTAGCAGAGATATTAGCAGAGAATAGATCAAATTCTGTAACCTTCCTCTTTGCAGTTGATTTTGCAGCACAAATATCTGCCATGTCAAGTCTGTGGTCCCTAAGTTGTTCACAAACACAGCTATTTTGGTAGTTTATTGCTCACTCCAACAATCAAATATTTCAAAGACCAACACCAACTGCATCAAGTCAGTGAGTTACTGGAGTGAACTGCTTTGACCAGTTCAGGCCGATTACTGGACCAATCACTGGTATTGTGAGCTAATTAATAAAAAAATAAAAAAAATGGTGAGAAAAAACATATAAAACTTACTTATTTCTAGGGCTGGGCAAGTTAACACATTATTATTGTGTTAACACATTAATTAATTAACGCCGACAATTATTTTATCACACATTAACGCAGTTAAAAAAAAAAAAATATTATTTTGAAAGTCTGTTGCTCACTGGCTCTGAATACATATACAGACAAACCATGAGTCACAGGAGGGGTGGGATGGTAATCAGTACTGGCTTTGGATGGGCGTCATCACGTGTCTCAACCAATGAGAGCATTTGGGGTGGGCCTAAGTTATTAAAATTATTTATGCTAAGCATCAACATTCACAAACCACTGTTCACTGTTATTTTTAAACAGAAAAGAATGCAACGTGCTCGTAATCACAACTTCATAAGTAGGAAATAATAAGTTTTCGTGAAGACAGCAGAGAAGCGCTCTCGCTTAGCACAGTGGAGTGCATCATTTTGTTAACTTTGTGGTTTATTATTTTGAGTCATTGGGACGCGGTAACACACGGCCCTCTCACAATATATTGCTTTACAGATCTATCACTTTTGCTGCACAGAAATGTTAACGCAATCATGCTGCACGTATCATAAGTTCCACTCTCTGGCGCGTTTAGCACTCACACTACATGTGTAACGCGCCCGAGCACAACTGAACCGCGCTCTTGCCCATCTCTTCCAACCGAGCCAGGGACGGCTAAACGAACGGCACGGAGAGATCACATGAGTCAAACGAACCGGGCTTTGGGGGTCAAATGCACTCGGGCACGGTTAAAGGGTTAGTTCACCCAAAAATGAAAATTCTGTCATTAATTACTCACCCTCATGTCGTTCCACACCCCTAAGACCTTCGTTCATCTTCAGAACACAAATTAAGATATTTTTGATCAAATCTGATGGTGTATTCTCATACGTTGTTTACGTCCAGCGCTTCCGTGTTCTACGTCAGAACGCCGGCTCATTATTGGATGGCTCTTGCATCAGCATACGTCGCTGAAGTGCTGAAGTTAATGAGATAATTATGTGATTAATTAAGTTCTGATTGAGCATTAGTGATGCTCTGGTTGCTGTAAATGTGTTTATGAAAAGCATTTGTTATGGCAAGAAAATCCAACAGACAATGTGGTCAGGTTATATTGGCTGTTGTTTGATACTGTTATAGTTGTCATGCCATAGCCTGATTCACTGATGTCATCAGTGGTTATGTGTAATTTAGTTTATATTGTTGATCACAACTGCATCTTAATAGAACTACGAAGAGCTTTTAAAAATACTTTGCACACCAGTTTAGAACGTCTGTTCTGTTTAGACACACAGACATCAAGGATCAGCATATGAATCTCAACAATGGTGACGATCATCAGACAGATTCATGTTGCAGTGCATTCTGGGAGCACCAATCATAGCTCATCCATGGCTCCCAGCATGCATTGCGACATGAATAAATTATGCTTCGTTCATTCATTCATTCATTTTGCCATCCACCACCAGCATTTTTGATAAGTTTCACAAAAATGTCATGGCCCCCAGAATATTTTGTTGTATGAATGTCTGAACATGCAATATGTCAAAAGAAATAACAGAGAGAGCCTCTGCTTAAAAATTAAATAAAAAATAAAATAAAAAGACTGTTTCCTGATCCTGGTAGTAGACTACAATGCCGGCTGTTCTGACTCACAGACTGTAAGTATGTCTTGTTTTAGGATTTTCTTTTATTCTTACTATTTGCTTTTATTTTTGTTGTGACTTTTTACTGCCTTGTTTTGTGACATACAAAAAACATATCAAAATGATCAAAATATGTAGTCACCATCGCTGAGATTCACAAGCTGATTCTTCATATCTATTGACTACTGACAGGCCAGAATTGAAACCTCTTTATGAGCCATATTTCTGAAAATGGTTTATTAAGTTTTCTCACATTGTCTCATATCATAGAACTGCAATAACAAAAAAACCATAAAGGCACTACAGATTTAGATAAAATGCAAACTGAAACTCAGATGCATGAAGTGACTTTATCATAAGTTTCTTGTCATTACATATGTGCTTTATAAACACTATCGTAACAGCCAAAGAGAAACTTATGCTTAACAAGTCAAGGGTCAAGAGGCAACTAAAGCAAACACTATTCACCAAAACGGTAAGTTGAAAAAAAAAATCTAAACCTTAATTCTCAATAAAGAACTTCTGTTTTAGATACTCCAGAAATAAAGTCAAACTGGTTAGTAATGTGTGAAGCTGGTGATGCTGTTTGTGGAGTTGTTTTCTCCGATCACAAATGCAGACATGGTTTTATGTTTACGCGTATGCATATGTTTATGCAACGCAACGCGTAAAAAGACAGTATAAGTCATTATAATCCGTAATTATGTCCCCACTGGATGCAACAAATGCCTCGTTTACAATGGGTTTTAATGTTTTTGTCTCGTAGCTCCGGCCGGACAGGGCATCACAGTATGGTAAGGGGTGTAACATTTCCGTCACACGCTTGAGGTATTCGGCCAATCACAACGCACTGGATAGCTTGCCAATCAGAGCACACCTCGCTTTTCAGAACGATGAGCTTTGTAAAAATCGACACGTTTCAGAAAGGCGGGGCATAGAGGAGAAACAATAATGTACTGTATGTGGAAAATAATGTGTTTTTTGAACCTTAAACCGCGTAAACACATTTCATTACACCAAATACACAAAATAATGTTCTTTTTAGCAACATCATATGACCCCTTTAATCCACCTTTAAAACATCAAATGTATGACTAACTAAACTGCATAGATTCATTGCTGGTTCATAAATTCTTTGGACAGCTTTCATGTATTTGCTTTCAAATTATGAGATGACAAAAATAATAATATACAATTCAGCTCTGCCAAAATATTACTATTTTGCACACTTGTGTTCTTTAGATCCAGTGCCCATGTGGAGGCACCTTGCCTAAAAATCATCATCAAAGAGATGGAGGAACTGAAGAGTCATCTTACCCACATCAACTCCCCAGTAGTACTATGTCATAATGACCTCCTGACTAAAAATGTCATCTATAACCAAGAAGAAGGTGACTAACATTTATTAGAATAGTTGAGTTTGAGTTTGTTTTAATTATGCCTGTCTTTAGATGTAAATTGAGGTTTTGGCCACATGAAAGAGGTCTGCTACTGGACTCAAGACCAAAAACCTGCAAAAACCACATGCTGTCTCTCTTGCTCTCTCTCTCTTTCACTCTCTCTCTCTCTCTCTCTTTCACACACACATACACACACACTGAGGTCTCAGCTAGCTGGGTGAGGGATTTCAAATTCTTATTATTTGCCAACTTACAGCCTTGCAGACCTCTACTATGTGAATGTAATTGAAATTCGTCTATTCTGAAACATAAAATATTCTAAACAATCTGGTTAATTCTATTGTGTAGGCATAATAACTTTTCAGTTATGACAACTCATGGAATTATACTGCTGCTGTACAAAGCAAATACAGGCACTTGCTACTGCTAAGATATGCATCGACATTCTGCTGTGAACTTGTCAGGCATGATGATTCATAAATCCACTGTAATTAGATCTAGACAGGTGGTGCTGGGGAGGAAGTAGGAGTTTCAGAGAGAAGACTCAGCAGTGATTACTGGCTTACAGCAAAGACTGGAGCAAAAGTTACAGATATAGGGAGCACACAAGCTCAATGGCTGAAAGAATACATACGGCCATGCTGTGTGCAAAGTGATTAACTGGAAGATTACATACCAATATCATGAATTTCATGACTGTATTTCAAGCCACTTTAATTTGTGCATAACATATTGTGTTCAATTAATGTTTATAGCAGATATTTTGGTGCATTTAGTTGTACTGATGAAATGTGAAGCCATAATACATTATACAATCCCTCCAGGATTTTGTGATTCTTCGATCAGTGCAAAAATGCAAAATCAAACAAACTTACCATAATTTGGAAGAACTTGCAATTTTTCTAAATTGCCACAGATTTCCCACATAGTTTGGGCATAGACTTGTTGTGTGATGACAATTTCTGTTTGCGCCGTTGCTTCTGCATGGCATGTGCTCCCACTGTACAGCACGCATTATCTCTAACACACACATGTACAGAAGCGTGTGCACTCTGAATGACATCTTTTCTATTAACCAGTGGTGCTTTTCCCAAAAGCAACTATGGTCGCAAGTTCTGTCGTTACCAATAGAGTTCAATGGAACTTACGACCATAGTTAGCTAACGATGCTTGTGGGAAACGCACCCCAGATCAATTAATCAATTAACCAGATCAATGCCTATATGCCACATTAAAGAGGATCACATATTCTGAACAACACCAACACGGACAAGGAATTAAAAAAATATATTATATTAATCACGTAAGCTTGAAATAATTCAATAATAGTCAGGGATTTTGTTTGTTTGTTTTTTTAGACAAAATTTAAAAGAGAGAAAAAAGCCATGTTTTTTTTTCTGTCATACTTGATACACCAGTTTTTATTCAGAGACCCAAACTGACCAAAATTTTATTCATATTGCAAAAAATTTAAATTAATGTGATTTTTATAACAGTATACAATTCAGTATGCCTACAAAGATGATTGCAAGATGAACAAATAAATGTTCTTCAAATGCCTGTTGTATCATTATTTGGTACAATTTAACATGATTTTTTTTTTTACTATTATTAGTGCTAATAATTGTATTAGAGATGTATTAGAGATTTTTCACCAAAGTGTGGGTCATGTTATTAATTTAAAATCTTTAGAAATCCATGTATAAATTATGATATAGTAGGCTTTATAGGGTAAGAAGACAACACTTAAGTTTCTCTTTTTGTTTCTCTTAAGTGTTCTCTTTTTAACAGTTATAGAGCCCAATGGTTCTTGAGGTCAGAAAAGAAATAATGTTAGAACAATATTGTCTGTGCTATTTTTTTTCTCACTGCAAAACAACACAATAAATCCTGTAATTATTGCCACAAATTTTGAGAAAAGCTGCCGCAAATTCAGTTATTTTAGGTCTCAAAAAAAAAAAAAAAGCCCCACGAAATCCTGGAGGAACTAATTATATACTGAATGATTTTGATTATTTCATTGTGTCTTGTACTGTTTTCCATAGACTCATAATAACTTTTTTCCCCCTGATTGTAGGCGCAGTAAAATTCATTGACTATGAATATGCAGATTTTAATTACCAAGCATATGATATTGGAAACCATTTCAATGAATTTGCAGGTACAAATACAAATAAAAAGTAACGATAACCAACATTAAAAGATATGACTTTTACTACTGTCTATCTAACACACTAAGAGATCATTTGTCTTTGAATTTTGAGGTATCAATAATGTTGACTCCAGCCTGTACCCTAGCTGTGAACTTCAGTTTGATTGGCTTACTGCTTATCTGGAGAGTTTCAAGTGGTTCAATGGCATGGATTCAACTGTGACCAAGAAAGAAGTCCTGGAACTTTATGCACAAGTCTGCAAGTTCTCCTTGGTGAGTATTTTGGGAAGGCCAGTTGTGAAGTTGGCAAAATATAAATGTCAAACAGTGACAGAAAATGTTGCATGAATGTACAATATGAAACCTAAAATCCTGAATACCCAGTATTGCGGTCTGTCACAGAATGTACTGGAAAAGATAATGAGGGTGGCTCATGATGTCCTTTCGTTGTAGTAGGCCTAAATGTGGACTGAGCAAGAAATTAGCCATTTATCATCTTCAATTGGCAACATGCTGTCTCACCACTGTTCCCTGCAATGGGCTGACCCTCTGAGGGGCCTGAGGCCTCATTTATAACTGTCGCGTACGTAGAAAACCTGCCCTGAAAGAGACATACCCCACTTCCTACGCAAAAGGTGGGATTTATAAAAAACAAACTTGATGGGAAAATTTGCGCACCTGCACGCAAACTGTGACCTATGCGTACAGACATTTTTTCCTGGAGAAAGAAATGTAATGAAGTAAACAATGATTTTAAACTGTTTTCATTTCATCATATACATTTACATTAATTATTCCACTCTCATTAATGGAGATAAGCACTGAAATTACATAAAGTCATTGCGCAGAAGTTAAACCAAAATGATAATGAATTTAGCCTATTTGTAGTGGATGCGCTTGATTACTTTTCCTTTGGTATGTTATGTTTTAATGACAGCGAGGAGTGCTATAGGTGCACAATAATTTATCTTTAAAGTAAACTGCACATCCCATGTTATGAGAAAATATTTTTAGCGAGTGATAATTTTAGCGATATTGTGGCAGACACTGCTGGATTCGGTGGAACGGTTTATTGTCCGGTTTGAATAGGACCAATGATAATAGCTTACTGTACAACCACAGCTGCACGAAAGTGTTGATGTCGTGTGAAGACATCTCCACAACATTATGAAAAATATCACTGTATTTGAAGGATACAACTTGAAGAAAACGGTAAGATTTGCACGTTTCCTTTTTTAAAATACTTTGTCAATGACGCGCAGAGTCAGATAATTGTATTTACACTGCAATAAATATAGGCCTATATTTTTCCACTAAAAATAACTAAAAGATGTTCACCTTATCAGCAAAACTGCATTCATTTAATTTAATTAGAATTTTTTTAAACAATTGAAATATTATTGAGCCAGTTGAAATGAATGAGATCAACTCTATTCTAAATTATTTTTCTGAGAACTATTTTGAACAGTTTTTTAGGAATACTTTGATATATTTATTCTAAAACATAAGGATACTGGATGATTTTAAGCAATAAAAATGCATGTGTATGGCACAAATGGCATTTATAGTCCGTATCTCATATTTCCTTAATGTCTTTTATCTTTGACGGTGTTAAACATGGTGTCACGTGGATGGGAATATGCATGAAAATGATACGCAGATAAGGTTATGCATAGTAAAACTAGGCATTGTAAGCTGTGCCTAGTGCCTAGAGTCGGGGTGGAGATGCACGTACGCACAATCTTCCCCTGACTGGGATTTATAAAGATTTTTGCGCAGGTTCTGGCTTACGCATGGTTTTATAAATCTGAAAACTTTTGAGCGTATGCAAAATCTAGCTTTTGTGCCTACGTACACTTTTAGGATGAAATCTAC